ATCAGCGGAGCCGCGAGGCCTCCTGGCACCGGGATCAGCGTGACAGGGGGCAGCGCCCAAACCCCCCCCCCCCCCCCCCCCCGCCCCGCAACGGGCCCTGCTCCTCTGTGTGTGATGGGGTAGAGCCATAACCTCCCCATTGGCCCTGCCCTGAGTGTGAGAGTGGCGGCGCCCCAACCCCCTGATGGGCGCTGCTCTGTGAGTGACAGGGGGAAATGCCCCAACCCCCTGATTGGCCCTGCTCTGTGCATGACAGGAGGTGGCACCGCAACCTCCCCATTGACCCTGCCTTGAGTGTGACGGGGTGGGGCCCCAACCCCCCAATCGGCCCTACCCTGAGCGTGACTGAGGGTGGCATCACAACCTCCCAATCGCCCTGCTCTGTGTATGACAGGGGACCGCGCCCCAACTCCCCAATTGGCCCTGCTCTGAGCCCGCGAGGGCTGCACCTAGGGATTGGGCCAGCCCTCTGCCACCTGGGAGCAGGCCTAAGCCAGCAGGTTGTTATCTCCTGAGGGGTCCCAGACTGCGAGAGGGCACAGGCTGGGCTGAGGGACCCCCCCCCCCCCCCCCCCCAGTGCACAAATTTTTGTGCACCGGGCCTCTAGTATATATATACTGTGTGTGTGTGATTTCAGGGAGGAAAGGAGAGAGAGAGAGAGATGGAAACATCAATGATGAGAGAGAACCATTGATTTGCTGTCTCCTTCACGCCCCCTACATCAAGCCTGGGCATGTGCCTTTGGCCAGAATCGAACCTGGGACCCTTCAGTCCGCAGGCCTAGGCTCTGTCCCTGAGCCAAACCAGCTAGGGCTGTAAATGTATATTTTAACTTGTCTCCCGCCAGTGAGCATTTCCGAGCAGCAAGTTTCAAATCGGCTGTTTGCTGACGAATGCAGACACGGTCCTTGGAAGCCTCCCACACACCCGCCTGTGGTCCCCGCGCGGGGGCGGGTCTTCCCACCGCCGTGTCATATCCACCCAGGACATCTGGTACCGCCCCACCTTGCAGACTTTCAGGGTTTCAGGTGTCCCCTGGGAGGCCGCGTCCGAAGGGCTTGAGCGGGAGAGGAATGGGACTCGGGGCTCGGCATCGGGAGCCCCTTCCCCAAATCAGTGGGCTCCCTCCCTGTCGCCAAAAATGTGGGGTTCAGAGAGGGGCGTGGCCCCACTGGATTTGTTGGGGAGACTGGGGACTGAGCCCAAGGGTCTTGGGAAGGAACAGGCGACGAGCAGAGTAGCTCCCGGCAGACTCGAGTGGGTGAACGCGGCTCCCAAACGTGGGCAGGGACTCGGCATCCAAAGGGTTAAAACACGGTGTCCCGCCCCGGCCCGGGGATTGGCGGCCCCGGGGGGCGTGGCCAGAGGGCGGGCCCGCGTTTGCCGCAGCTGCAGGTGGGCGGGGCCCGGGCGGGGAGCGGGAGGGGCGCGGAGCGGAGCTGGCCCCGCGCCGCGCGCCCCGCCGGGCGGGCTCAGGGCTGCGCCAGCGAGCCGGGCCGGTGGCTTCTGTTCCGGAGACCCCGCGCCGGACCCTGGAGCAACGAGTAAGTGAAGCAGGCCCACCGCGGCGTCCCTCGCAGCGTCAGCCTCTCCCCGTGCCCTCTGCACCGCGAGACTCCTCCGGCGGGACCCGGAGCCGGGGAGGGGGCGCGTCCCGCTGCTGGGGTCCGGGGGGGGAGGGGAGTGAAGATGAGGCCGATGATGTCACGGATGCTTCGTCGGGCCTGGGGAGCAGTGGAGGCCGGAGGGGGTGCGGCCCGGATTATGTCACCTCTCCCTCTGCGCCCCGCCCCCCGGGGCCACACGCGTTGGTGGGGAGCGCGGGGAAGGAGGCCAGGATTTCCCCCACCGCAGAGACCTCCTGGGCACCTTCTCGGGACGGCCTGTGGCCGGGGTCTCTGTGGCGCTGCGGGGCTGTGGGCTGTAGGTGAATGGCGAACACCCCCACCCCTCCGCACAGAGACTCGTGTGTGTGCGCGTGTGTGTGATGGGGGGGGATCGCTGTCAACCCCCACAGTCCTGAAACCACGGGCTTCATCAGACCCAGGACCTATGGGATGGACCACCTTCACCCGTTGTCGCCAAGGGAAGATGGATCTCCCCTCACACATCCCAACCAAGAAGTTCTGGAGACCTCTGCACCCCCAAAAGATTTACAGTGCCCCCGATCTCTTTTCTCCCTTAGTCCTTCCCAGAAGACCTTCCTGATTTTCCTGTCTGGATTCATTGCCTCTTTGCATTGCTCATCTCTAGCAATCCCACACATAGTCTCTCTGCATTTCCTCAGTGCCAGAGCCCAGGGACCCCCAGGACTTTGCAATCTGTGCCCCGTGGGCACCCACAGGCCAGCACTGGGGAAACCTCAGAATGAAATCTCCATTAAGTAGCCTGAGCCAAGAGCTCTAAGACCCCTTCCTGCCATGGCAGTCAGGATGCTGTCCTGGGAGGCAGCATTTGGATTGGGCCTTGAAGGATGCAGGATGGGTTCAGAGATCTGGGAAGAGACTGTGTGGAGTGGAAAGGGGCTCAGATCAGGGGAAATAGGATGTGCAGTGGGAGAGGCCTAGGGGGCCCTGCTGCAAGCTCTGCTCTGGTTCTGGGGGCTGAGAGGAATGCCAGGCATTTCACCCACAGTACATATACTTCTTAAGATTCCTGTAAGGTAGGTGTGAGAATCTGAGGTGAAATACGCTGCACACAGTTCCACCCCTAATTTGTATTTGGAGCTGATGCCTCCAGAACTCTGTCTAGTCTACTGCGCTTGGTGCTGCTCATGGAAGAATTTGGGCAGAGCAGGGACGAGATCAGCTTTGCCCTTTCGAAAGATTTCTCTGGCAGCTGTGCAGGAGAGGGAGTGCAGAGGAAGAAAGGCCAGTGAGGAGCCCCTAGCAAGGGTGCTGGCAGGAGGGGCTGCTGAGATCTTTAGGAGGTGAATGGGCCGAGCTTGGGACCTCTGAGACCCCAAGAGAAGGTGGACTATTCCTAGTTTTGGGAGGGACACTGGTAGGGAGGGGCAGTGATAGCTGTGGGTTGGAGGGACCTGCCCATGTAACCCACATGTAGAACCCACTTGGGCTCCTTGTGACTGCTAATACTGTAATTTCCCAGGCACTGAAGGTTGACGGGACAGAGATAGAGGTAGAGTCAAGCAACAGGCTATCATCCAGGGTGTTGAGCTGATGCCATAAGGCAGCCATTGCAGACCATACTCAGCTATTGGGGCCAGTTCAGGACTCTGACCCATAGCAAAGCTCAACTCAGTTTCTGCCTATCAGGGAAGCATATGCCCCTCCTTATCTTGCCAGCTCCCTGCTGGGGTTCTGAGGAAACAGGCTTGGAATAGGCAAGAGACCGAATGCTTGCATGGGGTTACCCATGACAAATTAGAATTATGCCAAGAAACTCTTTGGGGAATGAGGCTTGAGGAGAATTGCTTTGGGTTGGCAGTAAAGGATTCCCAGGTAAAGCACCAGTATAAGAGGCTTAGGAATTCTAGCTGGTTTGGCTCAGTGGATAGAGCCTCAGCCTATGGACTGAAGGGTCCTGAGTTCAATTCTGGTCAAGGGCATATGCCTGGGTTTCGGGCTCGACCCCAGTAGGGGGCATGCAGGAGGCAGCCAATCAATGATTCTCTCTCATCATTGATGTTTCTATCTCTCTCTCCCTCTCCCCTCCTCTCTGAAATCAATAAATATATATATATATTTTAAAAAAGGCTTAGGAGACAGTCCTGGGACCCCATTTCCACCCAAGACCCTGGGTATCTGAGTCTGGCTGGGGATCACACACTCTAGGGAAATGGTGGGGCAGAGTGGCATATGACCAGCCCCAACCTATGGTCAGAATCTTGTTTCCTGGGTCTCAGAAAGGTAGTAGTACTGCATGCTTGTATTGCACCTTACAGTTTACAAAGCACCTTCCCAAACATTACTATCCCCTGTCACTCTCATGAACAACATGATTACTTCTGAGGTTTGCTCATGCTCACACCCAGGCCTCTGGTGCAGCCCCCTTGCCTATATCTCCAGTCTCACTTCCTTCAGCATATCAACACACTCACGTTTCTACCATGTTTAATTTTAAAATTAGAAAAAAGCCCTTGGACTCCAAATCACTTAAATGACTGCCTTCTTTGGCCTTCTTTTAGGAGGGAACCTCCTATCTCTCCCTCCAGAACCCTCTACTTCTGGCTTTGCCTGGCACTACCTTTCTGAAACCATTCTCTCATAGACATCAATGAAATCCAGGGCGCGCTCTCCAATCCCAATTATACTTGGCCCGTTTTTAACACCAGAATTGCACCCACATTCTTGTTCCGCAGGGCTTGCCTTCTGGCCTTCCTCCTGCTCCTACACTGTCTCCCAGGCTTCTGAGGCGCTGTTATCCTAGCTCATTGCTGGGCCCCACCCACACTATCCTTGAATGCTGATGATGCTCAGTCTCTCTTCTTCTCCTCCCTGCCTCCCTCCCTCCTTCCTTCTCCAGTATGTGAGAGATATCTTTCTCTGGTCTTCTCCAAAGTTTACAGTTTACAGCCCTTTCCCCCCAAACAGTCTCCCCCTGCCATGTTAAATGTGTCATGCACACCCTGTTGTCCCGACCCAGATCCTTCCTTGCCCCCACGCCCTGAACTCCATCTGTATGAAGTTTTGTCAGTTTTTCCTCCCAAATCCTGCCTAGGCCTTCCCACTGGTTCCAAGCTTCAGGCCACTCAGCCTCCATCCTCAGCTGCTTAGCTGCTCCCTATACTGTACCAGGGATGGTGAAATAAGGGGGTTATGATTAGGGTAGGAGGGGGATTTCTGATCTGAGGGGTAGCCAGGTTGGTGTATACTGGGAGTGGAGGCCGAACAGGGAGCAGGGTGAGGCATGAGAGGCAGGCACCTAGGGCACCAAAGTAAGGAGGTCCTCACTCTCTCTAGGTCTGAACTTGCTGATCCTGCACTTCTGTTGTGCCCTACGGGACAGATTGGCCAAGAGAGGTAGGTGATAAAGTGCTTTTCTCCACACCTTAGAGCAGGCGCTGAGAGAGTGGAATTTCACAAAGGCAGTGTGGACTGGCTTGGTGGTGAACTTTCCAACCACGTAGGGCTGTAATTCCAGGTGTGGTGGTCAGGTGACTCTGAAGGGCAATAGTTTTGTCAGGCTCCGCTGGACACAACATTAGAAGTGGGCACCTGGATAGAAGACAGTCTGAGGAATGCTCAAGGGGCTGTGGGGTGCCACTTGGACCCCTTCACCTTGGCAGAGGCGTGCTCTTGGCCTGGTTTCTGATGGGAGTAAGGGGGTAAGAGCCTGAAGGACATTCCTGCCATCTCTGGCACGCGGATTTGAGTGTTTACACTGCTGGTAGGCGCTGCTGCAGCCCCTGCCAGGCTGGATTACAGTATTGGGATCTCTGGGGCAGGCGTTCCCAGGTGCCGGCTTGAGACAAAGGAACCAGGAAGCAGGGTCTCCCGATTGCAGGTAACCCGAAGCCCTGCTGGCCCTGTTCCTGGGGGCCCGCCTTGGGGGGTGGGGGTGTACACCCACTGAGGGGCGCGGAGGACTTCACGGTGCACTGAGCAGGGTCAAGGTCCACAGGGAGTGGGAAAGGGGAGTAATCCAGGAAGTCTTCCCGGAGGCAGCGAATTCTTAGGGAGGTTCCGCCGCGCGGGATCTTCCCAGGCTCCGCTGGGTGCGCAGGCCCCGCCCATTCCCGCCCACCTGTGGGAAAGGCAGGCCCCGAGGGAGGCTCGGCGGGCGCCTGCTGCTAGCTGCGTCGCGTTCTCCGCCCGGCCTCTGCCGGCTTGGGGTCCTCTTCCAAGATACTGGATGCGGGGAGGGGACCCTCCGTGCCAGGGCCCCGTGGCGCCCACCTGGGAAGACCTCTGGGAGGGCTCGTTGGCCACGCGCTGCAGCCGCGGCTCCTGGCTGGCCGCGGGGGCCGGGGCGTGCCCGAGGTGGCCCCGAGGCGCGCTGCAAAGCAGCTGCTGCCCCCGCCCCGCAGCACCCCAGTCCGCTCCTGCGCCTGTCGCCTGGGGGCGCCTGGCACGTGGCAGCTCCGCGAGGTAGGTCCTTCGTTCCTCCCATTTCACAGAGAAGGAAACTGCAGTCCAGGATGGCGCTGCCGGTCTGTCTAAAGTCACTCCGCTGGTTCCGGCCGAGCTCCGACTTCCAGAGTGAGGCGCATGACCCCTGCATACCAGGCCTCCACGGGTCCCAGGCTTGAGGGCCTGTCGGTCCCCACCCCCTTGGAAAGGCCAGGAGAAGAGCCTGTGCTGGTCGTGAGCCTCCACCTGTGCCCTTGACTGCAACACCCTAGGTTAGGACCCCGCCCACAGTTTTTGGGTAGGGGTGGGCTTCTCCCCCTCCTTTAACTTCTGAGGTTCCCTCTTGGATTCAGGCACTGCTGTCCCCTGCCAACCCCATCTCCCTGCCCGTGAGGGTGGGATGTAGGGGTCCGGACCCAGGGTAAAGAACCCTAAGTTGTGGAGGTTGCAGTAAAGAATTGAGTGGGCCACTGAGTCTGGGAAGCTGGTGGAGGAGGAGTGGGTGAGGAGTAGAATACAGAGCTGAGCAGATCCGGGAGGGAATGGTGGGTATAGTGTTCTGGGCTCGGGCAACATGCAGCTCCCGTTACCAAGGTTATCACTCTTTACCTGGCCCCATTCCCTCTCCTTGGGTGTGTGGGAATTCCTGTGTCTGTTTTAGGGAAGGGGACACCGAGAGGTAGGGTTCAGGTGGTGCTGGGGCTGACTCGGCGGGTGTGGTGTGGTGTGGTGTGGTGTGGTGGGCATGGGAGTGGGTCTGACCAATCCTGCTTTCTCACCTATGCCCACAGTGCCCCCCACCACCCCAGCTCAATCATGGCGAAGCTGGAGACACTGCCTGTGCGAGCTGACTCAGGGCGGGATCCCCTCCTGGCCTTTGCCCCACGGCCCTCTGAGCTCGGACCCCCAGATCCTCGTCTGGCCATGGGCAGCGTGGGCAGTGGAGTTGCCCATGCCCAGGAGTTCGCCATGAAGAGCGTGGGCACCCGCACAGGGGGTGGGGGCAGCCAGGGCCCTCGAGCTGGTGGCAGTGGGGCCAGCAGGGAGAGGCCAGGCCGCTACCCATCCGAGGACAAGGCTCTCGCCAACTCCCTCTACCTCAACGGTGAGCTGCGGGGCAGTGACCACACGGATGTCTGTGGCAATATGGTGGGCGGCAGTGGTGGCAGCAGCAGTAGCGGCGGCAGTGACAAGGCCCCACCACAGTATCGTGAGCCCAGCCACCCACCTAAGCTCCTGGCCACCTCTGGCAAGCTAGACCAGGTCAGTCCCCAGGGCCTTTTTCTGGGGATGGGAGGTAGCTCAGTGGAAGGTGAAGTGGACTTTCTTAGAATTTGGGTTGTGGTAGGTGCCAGGATGGAGACTGGACTTGAAGGGTGGGCCTTGGGGGCCAAATCCAGCTGGTGGGTACAGGATAAAGACTTGGCTTGGGTGGGCCATAAGGTAGACACCAGCCCTGAGTGACTCCTGGGATGGAGATCAGTGAGGGTGGGAAGTGGGGAAGTCTTGTCCAAAGGGAAGAGGCTGGGGTTAAGGCTAAGGCCCCATCCTGATGTCCACTCTCCCTTCTCTGCTTCTACGCAGTGCTCAGAGCCGCTAGTTCGGCCTTCAGCCTTCAAGCCTGTTGTACCCAAGAACTTCCACTCCATGCAGAACTTGTGTCCTCCACAGACCAGCGGGACCCCTGAGGGACGACAGGGCCCTGGGGGCCTCAAGGGTGGACTGGACAAGTCTCGGACCATGACCCCAGCGGGCGGGGGTGGGGGCAGCCTCTCAGACTCAGGCCGGAACTCACTCACAAGCCTGCCCACCTACAGCTCTAACTACAGCCAGCACGTGGCGCCCCTCAGTGCCTCCACCAGCCACATTAACCGCATTGGCACTGCCGGCTATGGTAGTGGCAGTGGCAGTGGCACTGGCAGTAGTGGCGGTGGGTCGGGCTACCAGGACCTGGCCACCTCTGACAGTGGGCGGGCCTCTAGCAAGAGTGGGTCCTCCTCCTCCATGGGGCGGTCTGGCCACCTGGGATCGGGAGAGGGCGGAGGTGGAGGCCTGCCGTTCTCGGCCTGCTCACCACCCTCGCCCAGTGCTCTGATCCAGGATCTAGAGGAGCGGCTGTGGGAGAAAGAGCAGGAGGTGGCCGCTCTGCGCAGGAGCCTGGAGCAGAGTGAGGTGGCGGTGGCCCAGGTTCTGGAGGAGCGGCAGAAAGCGTGGGAGCGCGAGCTGGCCGAGCTGCGGCAGGGCTGCAGCGGGAAGCTGCAGCAGGTGGCCCGCCGTGCCCAGCGTGCTCAGCAGGGCCTACAGCTGCAAGTGTTGCGGCTGCAGCAGGACAAGAAGCAGCTGCAGGAGGAGGCAGCCCGCCTGATGCGACAGCGGGAAGAGCTCGAGGACAAGGTGGCCGCCTGCCAGAAGGAGCAGGCCGACTTCCTGCCCCGGATGGAGGAAACTAAGTGGGAGGTGCGGGTTGGGGGCTTGGGCCTTCTCCCTGTCTCCTCCCCCTCCGTCCCTGCAGAGGAACCCAGAGCAGTAGGCCACCATGAGCACAAGGGGAATGGAAGTTGGGGGTGGGGCACAAGACTGATTAGCAGTGTCTTTGAGGACCATAGAGAGCTGTCCCTGGGCTGGGTGGGATTGGCCATGTATGTCCTGAGTCTGAGGAGGGGGCCCTGTGTGTCACTGCTGCCCAGCTTGATGCCCTGGAGAAGCTTGGTACCTCTGGGGCTGGATATGGAAGGTGGGGTGAGGTGAGCAGAGCGCTGCCTTCACCTGGCTTCTCCCACCCGACCCTGCCCAGGTGTGCCAGAAAGCCGGGGAGATCTCCCTCCTGAAGCAGCAGCTGAAGGACTCGCAGGCGGATGTGTCCCAGAAGCTGAGTGAGATTGTGGGGCTGCGCTCCCAGCTGCGGGAGGGCCGGGCCTCGCTGCGGGAGAAGGAGGAGCAGCTGCTCAGCCTGAGGGACTCCTTCGGCAGCAAGCAGGCCAGCCTGGAGCTGTCCGAGGGTGAGCTGCCCACCGCCTGCCTCAAGCCGGCACTGACCCCGGTGGACCCCGCCGAGCCGCAGGATGCTCTGGCCACGTGCGAGAGCGACGAGGCCAAGATGCGCCGGCAGGCAGGGGTGGCCGCCGCCGCCTCCTTAGTCTCCTTGGACGGGGAGGTGGATGCCGGTGGGGAGAGCGGGACCAGGGCCCTGCGGCGGGAGGTGGGGCGGCTGCAGGCCGAGCTAGCGGCTGAGCGGCGAGCTCGGGAGCGCCAGGGGGCGAGCTTCGCAGAGGAGCGCCGCGTGTGGCTGGAGGAGAAGGAGAAGGTCATCGAGTACCAGAAGCAGCTGCAGCTGAGCTATGTGGAGATGTACCAGCGCAACCAGCAGCTCGAGCGGCGGCTGCGTGAACGTGGGGCCGCAGGGGGTGCCAGCACACCCACCCCCCAACATGGCGAGGAGAAGAAAGCCTGGACCCCTTCCCGCCTTGAGCGCATTGAGTCCACAGAAATCTGATCCCTGATCTCGGCATGGGACTTTTGACAAATACCCTGTCAAAGGCCAGAGTCCCCAATGTCCCCTCCCGCCATCTCTCCTCCCCAGGTTTCCCATATCCCCAGACCAAAGAGGTTCTCAAAGCAGCTGTGGCCAGGTCCCTTCCCTTCCTGCACTGAGTGCCCTTCTAGCTCTACTGCTGCCCCTCTGGGCAACCCACTGGGCCCTCCTCCAAGGACGGAACAGGGAGAGGGCAGAGCAAGCAGGGACTAGGGGCCCAGGCTCCCTTTGTTGGCACTCCCTTGTTGGAGATGGAGGTGGCAGGCCTGTAGTGCCATGAGGTGCCCCAGCCCCTCATTGGGTCTGGGCTGCTACTGTTGGCTACTCTGTGTCCAGTAATGTTCTCTGTGCTCACCTCCTAGGCCATGTAACCTGAGGGGGTCTGCTGAAACTGATAGACCTTGGGCTCCTGGCCTCTCTCCTTCTTGCACTATTCTCCCTTCCTGGGCAGATTGGCAGGACAAGTGGGAGCAGATGGCCTGCCTGTGGTTGAGAGGGCTACCTGCCCAGCCCCTCCCCACCAAGGTCTCTAGGGTTCAGGCCTCAGAGCCTGGCTTGGTCTGAGTGTGTGTCCATAGTGTGTATTGAGGGAGGGAAGGGCTGGGGCTGGAGGCTCAGTGTCCAGGAAAGATTTGCCCTCCTGTTCCTGGAAAGGTCGCCTGGAGGCTTCTAAGCTCTCCCTCCCCACACCCCACCCTGACCACGATCCAAGGGCAATAGCCTCATCTGCTTGGCCTGCCCACACACAGGGCCACTGTCTGGTTCTAACTACAGCTATTAAGTGCTACCTGCCTCTCAGGCACTCCCCTCACCCGTACTGAGGTCATGAGTGTCTGTGATGTCTTCCCCACTCCATTCCTCCAGCCTCCTTCTGCTTTCAGCTCAGAACATCATTGTCACCTCTTCCCTCAAAACTCACCTTTTCTTCCAGTAGAAATTTCTGCTTGATATCTGGTGCATTCACTGCCCACTTCCAAGCTCCACTGGGCCCAAACCTGAGCCTGGGGCCCTTGTTTTGGGGGGTGGTTGTGATTGCCCTTGAAAGACAAGGCTGACCTTTGAGTCTCCAGAGCCCTGAGGTAGCCCAGGAAAGGCCTGACATGGCCATCAGTGGGGTTGGGGCATCTAATGTGACTTCCTCCTGTATGGGCCCTCTCAGAGTCCATCTCCCCAAGGTAGGAAGGGAAAGGCAAATTTCTAATTCACCAGCAATAAAAATTGGAGGAGGCTTGGCCCTTAGCCCTTGTATTTCTCTTTTCACTCTCTTCCTCCCACCCCCAAGACTAGGTTTGGGGACTGGGTGGAGAGAGCTGGCAACTACTGTGAGCAAGTCCTCTAACCCCTGACCAGCCTCCTCCCATGACTGGTGACTGTTTAACAAGCTGTGCAGCTCCCATGAAAACAGGAGTGCCTCTCTGGCCTCTATGTCTTTGCACAGCCCTTTCCTGTGGCCCTCACCAGATCTCTGAACTGAGTTGGGGGGGCCATGCTGGCAATCACTGCCGATTCCACTCACCCCTCGGTGGACCTGTCCCAGAATCTGGGCCTGGGCCAGAGGGGCAGGGAGAAGAGAAGGCATTAGTAGAAGAAAAAAAAAAATATTAACAGACTCAGCTTTGGGACTTCCAACCACAAAAGAAATTATATATAAATATATATAAATATATATCTCTACCATATGTGATGGAAAGACTTTTGTTTTCTTTTCCCAAAGAAATAAAATGGAGAAAGCCTCTTGAGTGGCATTCTTTGACTTGTGTCTTTGCAGGTGAGGGGGTGTGGAGGGCAAAGCTGGAGTAAACATTTCCCAGAGGAGGCATGAGACACGGTGTTCACTGGGCCATGCATGCCAAGAGGTTGGCTTAAAGTCCAAGCTCCTCCATATTGCCCAGGAGGAGTCGTAGTCCCACATTTGTGGCCAGTGGGGCATTCTCTTCAGAGTTTCAAGCTGGTTCCAACTCAAAATCTGGACACCAGGCTGCTGGCCAAAAAGACAGATGATGCAGGATAGCTAGATGCAGCCTGTAGTGGCCTGAACCACCTTATAGCAATGGGCTGATGTTTGAGGGTAGAATACATATTAATGAGTCTAAGAACCAGTTTGTAATTAGTGGTGAGGGCCAAAAGGCAGAAATGACCCAAGTGTGCTGCAAGAAGAGAGTCTTCCTTTGAGGTTAAGTGCTGTCCTTTATGATAATTTTTTTCTGGGTCTCTTACAAAGCCCCCCCCCCCCCACCCCAATCAAGAATGTATTAGGTGCCCTGGCAGTATGACTCCGTTGGTTGAGGGTTGTCCCATGCACTGAGAGGCTGCCAGTCAATTCCCAATCACGGCACATGCCTGGGTTGCAGGCTTGATCTCCAATAGGGGGCGTGCAGGAGGCAGCTTATCGATGTTTCTCTCCCTCTCCCTTCCTCTCTTTCTAAAATCAATTAAAAAATTTTAAAAAAGAGACTCCATAGTTCAGATTTTTAAAAAGACTATTATCTATAAGCAACCCAACCTGATTTACAGGAACTAAAACAGTGGCTTATTTTTTCTCACCTGACAAGTCTGGTAGGCGTTCTACGTGTCATAGGTGTTGGTTCATCAAGAACTTAGACTGTTTATCCTCTTACTTTCACATTCTTGCTCTTTACACCATGCCACAGGTGGCTGCCACAGCTCCAAGAAGGCATTGAGACAGCGCTACTTTATCATGAAATAAAAGCTTTCCCAGAACCCTACTCGCATGTTTTCCTTTAAATTTTGTTTGCCAAGACTTAGTCACATGTTCTTTCCATTTTAAGGGAGGCTGGGACATTGAGTATTTGTCAAAGAACAATAGGATTGCCTTGGCTGCTTCTGAGCAATGTGGTCCATCCCCTGGGGATGGGCCCTCTGCTCTCTCTGAGTTCTGCAGGCAAAGCCAGAATCATAATCAACAATTAACTGTGTGCCCTGGTCTGGTCCAAGTGAGAGAACCTCCCTGAGCAGTGGTGTCAGTCGTCTGAGGCCCCAAATGTTCACACCCAGGCAAACAGTGCCCTCTGCAGAGCTCAGGAGTTGGAATGCCAGGTTTGCCCACCTCTTCCCTTGCAGTGAAGTATCCTGCCTACATTAGTCTTGTCTCCTAGACAAGATGGTGCCCAGGAGGGAGTATTAATTCTCAGGTCTCCTTTCTAGCCCTTAAGATGAGTGGATGAGCCTGGCTGGCATGGCTCAGTGGTTGAGCCTGGATCTATGAACCAGGAGGTCACAGTTCCATTCCCAGTCAGGGCACATGCCCAGGTTGCAGGCTTGACCTCCAGTGTGGATCCCCACTAGGAGGCAGCCGGTCAATGATTCTTTCTCATCATTGATGTTTCTATCTCTCTTTCCCTCTCCCTTCCTCTTTCTTGAATGAATGAATGAGTGGACGAGCAGCCAAGGCACTGACAAGGTATGATGATCCTGACCAGCAGCTCTCCAGTGCCCCCAGGAAAGGCTCTCTAGGGCCAGGCCCTCCTGAAAGCTCTCAGCGGAGCCTCTTCCTTGCCTAGTTTTGCCCATACCATCTCAGGTATGAGCCCCCTACTTAGGAAGGTGGAGGATCACCCTGGCTCCTCCATCATAGTACTGGCCTCTTCAAGCTCCAGCTCCTCATCCATTTCTCCATCTATCCATCACTAAATCTTCTCTTGGGAGAACTTTATGATTACATTTCTTTTAAATGTATGATTATCCTCATTGTACAGACAAGAAACTAGGCTTAGAGAGTTTATGTGATTTTCCCAAGGCCATAACACCCTGAGGAGTGGTGCACTGGTTCTCAACCTTCTGGCCCTTTAAATACAGTGTCTCATGTTGTGACCCAACCATAAAATTATTTTCGTTGCTACTTCTTAACTGTAATGTTGCTACTGTTATGAATCGTAATGTAAATATCTGATATGCAGGATGGTCTTAGGCGACCCCTGTGAAAGGGTCGTTTGACCGCCAAAGGGGACGCGACCCACAGGTTGAGAACCGCTGAGTGGTCGGGATTCGAACCTGTGCCTTGGCTATTAAATTACTTCCAGAGTGGTGTGTCTTTGGCTTATTCCGTGGAGCTGGTAGCCAAGTTCTTTACCACCAGCCAAGTTTTATATCCTCCATTCTCCCCCTCTCTCCCCCCGCCCCCCAATTCCTCAACATCGTCCTTTAGTGGAAAACGTCCTTGAAAAACGCTACAAGAGTTTTGAGCCTTGGTGGCACCCGTCCTTCGCGCATCAGCCGGAAGTAGCGGACAGTTGGCCGGAAGTGGGGCTGTGCGGACCAGGTGTACCTGGAGGAGTCGCCGAGTTGCCGCACTCCGCGGGATCTGTGCTCTGTAATTGTGGTGTCCGCGCTGGCCGGGCCCAGGTGAGTGGCGGCGGCTGGGTAGAAGGTCGCACCGGCCTCTCCGTGCAAACCTGGTCCGTGGCCCGCCCCTCCTGGCCCGCCCAGGGCCCGCGCGCCAAGGCCGTGCCTCTGCACTTCTCCGTCCGTGTGCCGGGCGCTTCTCACAGGCCCCGCTCTAGAGAGAACCTTGGCGACCCCAGCCACTCCGGAGTTCTTGCGAGCGGCTTACCCGACCCTGTGTTTCTCAGCTGTGAGCCAGAGATAATAACAGTACTTGGCTCCCAGACCTGTGGTGAGAGTGGAGCGAGACTCACCTCATCACACGTAGGCATCTTGAAGATTCCGATTTTGTAGGTCGGGTGGGGCCTGGTGAGGCTGATGCTGCTGTTCCTCGGGCCACACTTTGAGCAGTATTTTGCTTAGTAGCTGGGATGGGGTGAGTCTTCAATAAATAGCAAACGGTGTTTTGTTGTGCTGTGTTTTTTTGTTTTAAGTTTCTGGTTGCACAAGCCTACCTAAGGATAGCATGGATGCCCCACTCCCTTTCTCTCTCCAGGAGTAAGACAAGTGATTACCTTTTCTCTTCGTGTACAAACCCTGACACAACTCTCCCGCCCTGACGCAGGAAGCTTTGGGCCCTGTCTATGCAGTTAGGTTATGCCGAGGTGATTCTTCATTGTGCGCTCGCTGTAGAGGCTCGGACGGTGCTCGTCCGTGGAGCTGGTCGCCAGGGTCTTTAGCACCAGCGCAGCGCATGTTTTATGCTTGAGTATGTGTTGCTGCTGTAATGTGAATGCATGTTTTCGGTACTTTGAGTAGTTATAACAGCTACCTTTCCAGAACTAGATTCTGCAACTCGCTGCTCTGAATGGCGCTGGGATGAGTGTACTACTGCCAGATAGAACAAAATGAAACCAGAACCGGGGCCTTTGGGTCCGGGGCTGGGAAGGAGACCCCCCGGACCGGGGGGTGGGTGGCTGCGGACTTGGCCCCTTTCCCAGGGGGGCTGAGGGCCGACTCCACTTTTTTCCTAAACAACAACAAAACAAAACCCTGGAGACTCAGTGCCATCTATAGTACAACTGGGAGAGTGAGGCCTTTGTCCGTTAGCAGGTCTAATCTGTCCGTTTGCCTTTCTTCCCAATTCATTGGCTTACTTTTCTTTCTCTTACTTTCGTTTTGGATTTATTTTTCTATTCCCCGGTACGGCCTTGTCATTCATTCATCATGTAAGTCAGTCAACTTGGATATTAAAGAATTTTGAAGTTCCCCCTTCACTTGCCTGAAATACCGTGTTGTGCAGCCTTGCAAATTTAGGAAAATCGATTTAAAATCAAGTGTTTGATGGAGTTGTCACTGATAGGTACTTGGACCATTTATTTGGGGATTTGTCCACATAACTGGGTACAGCTGCTTCTCTCCACCTGCAGGGGTTTTGCCATTTCTCTACTAGTCCCATTCAGAGGGGCTGAGAGAATATGAGTTTCTGCTTTTTGTTACAGTGAGATTTTTTAACGACGAGTCTTATTGGACCCTTTAAGAGCGGTGACTCTAGCAGAATTACCTGTGGGGCCTTGCCAGACTATATCTACCCAGGCCCTTCTTGTCATTCTGAGAGAAAAGGTAGAGTTTTAGAAGGGGAGGAGAAGGCTATGAACGCTAAAAGAGTTTCATAGATGATTGTGATGTGCTGTTTTCTCGCCCATAAGCATGGAACCTCCTAGAATGAAGTAGAGGGGATAGGCTGTTAGACTAGGTTTTGGTTTACACTAGTGCTTTACCTTCCTGTAAGCTGTGTTCCTGTGTGGAACTAAGCGTAGAAGAGTCTAGCCCAGTTAGCATCTGTATTAACAGCTAGGGGTCCATACCGTCAGCCTCTAAACGCTCACCACGGGCTTAAAGCTTTGTAAACCGATCAGGAGACTCCAGCACCTAGAAAAAGTTAGTTGTTTTAATTCTTAGGGTTGCCCAATACATTATTTGCTAAGGTAAGAATGGGTTTTGAAGTATCCATTTATTTGTGGCAATTTTATCAGGACATAAGAGGTTTAAACCTTTCTAGCAGAAAGATCAGAAATCAGAATTAAGGGATGAGATCTGATAACTGGTAAGTTGAAAATGCTGAGGGTGTTATATACTTAATCTACAGTTAGCATGGCTGCCTTCTTCCTCCTGGCTCTCTAACTTCTGGACTATAGTTTAAAATGAAGCTATTCGGCCTTGCTCAGACCTGTACCTGGAAGGCAGAAAGGTAAGATTCCTCACTCCTATGAAATCGCACGATTCAGGGTGATTTGGGCAGTGCTCTTCAGAACAGCCATGCTCCAGGGGTCTCTGGGGTTCCACCCTGGTTACTAAGAACCCCTAAAGAGGAGTAGGGAGCAGCGTATACTAGGGGCACTTAAACTAGGAAAGGGGCTTTGTGAAATGATGCCACGTATCTTTGAATCTTCATAGAGGCATCAGGAGTTATTGGGCACCTCATGGTGTTCTCAGCTTTCTAATGGATTCTCTGGGAGTCCTTGAGTAAGGAGGAGCTAACTCAGCTGTGTTTTCTCTACCTGGGTAACACATCCTTACCTCTTTTTCTCCCCACATTTTGCTTTGTTGTTCTGTATCTAGTACTTCTTTCCTTTTCTGCAGTATTGGAGACCCAGCTTCCAAAGTGGTTACATTTCATACCTGTATATACTAGAGGCCGGTGCACAAAATCCATGCATGGGGGGCGGGGAGGGGTCCCCTCAGCCCAGCCTGCACCCTCTCCAATCCGGGACCCCTCGGGGATGTCCAACTGCCGGTTTAGGCCTATCCCGGGGATCAGGCCTAAACGGGCAGTCGGACATCCCTCTCATAATCCTGGACCGCTGGCTCCTAATCACTTACCTGCCTGGTTGCCCCTAACTGAACTGCACCCCCCCCCCCCCCCCCAGCCTGATCACCCCTCACTGCCTCTGCGTGCTGGCCTGGTCGCCCCTAACTGCCCCCCCTGCTGGCCTGGTCGCCCCGCGCAGCCTGCTTGTTCAGTCGTTTGGTTCCTCACTAACCCCCCTGCCATCCTGGTCATAGGCAGCCATCTTGTGAGGGTGTGAGGGTTAATTTGCATATTATCTCTATTATATAGGATGGTGTCTATGCACTTAACACTAAAAGTTCTGTGATGAAAAAGTAAGTAGCTACTGTTTGTTATTTGCAGTTTGGCTCTGCATGCCTCTAAGATTATTTTGTTATCATTTCTGCCCATTTTGTGGGCATCCATAAAGAAGTTCTAAAGACAGTAAAAAGTGCTTGCACTGGGAATAACTTTTCAACATTTTCCTTGAATATTAAGGTTACTTTCTCTGTTCACTGATTGTCTTCTTGATTAATAATACCTTAATCTCCTGTTAGCACATGCATTTTGTAAATTTAAATTTTGTCAGTTATACATGGATATGGTTTACACAGTCAAATAATTCAGTAGAGTTTATAACACTAAATAGTAATTTCCTCTTTCTCTCCCTTTATTTTTGTTTCCTAGAGGCACTTTCAACTATGTGTTTGTTTCTTTTGGCATTTATCAGTATATTTCTGAATAACATATTTGTGTTGCTTTTTTTTATTTCTAAGAGATCAAATCAATAGCTATAAAAATCTCTTTACTTCTTTATTGAGGCTCTAGGGCTCTTGTATCACTACCCACTTTCCCTAATCATCTTCACCTCCCTTTATCTTCTGAATATAGTTTGCTCATATTTCTTTTTAAATATATTTTTATTGATTTTAGAGAGAAAGGGAGAGGAGAGATCGAAACATCAATGATGAGAGAGAATCATTGATTGGCTGCCTCTTGCACGCCCCCCACTGGGGACTGAGCTCGAAATCTGCACGTGTGCCCTTGGCCGGAATTGAACCTGGGACCCTTCAGTCCATAGACTGACACTCTATCCACTGAGCCAAACCAGCCAGGGCTAGTTTGCCCATATTTTTAAAAATATTTATAGATTTGAGAGAGAGAGAGAGAGAAATTGATTTGTTCCACTTATTTCTACATTCATTGGTTTATTCTATTGTTTGTTTTTTGTTAATCCTCACCCGAGAATATTTTTTCCATTGACTTTTTCTTTTAAATATTTTTATTGATTTCAGAGAGGAAAGGAGAGGGAGAAGGAGAGAGAGATAGAAAGAAAGATAGAAACATGAATGAGAGAGAACCATTGATCGACTACCTCCTGCATGCTCCATACTGGGGATGAGCCTGCAACCCAGGCATGTGCCCTGACCTGGAATCAAACTGTGACCTCCTAGTTCATAGGTTGACACTCAACAACTGAGCCATGCCGGCTGGGCCATTGATTTTTTTTTTTTTAGAGAGAATGGAAAGGGGAGAGGCGGGGAAAGAGAGAAACATCAATGTGAGAGAGACACATTGATTGGTTGCCTCCCTCAAGTGCCTTGACTAGGGCTGGGGGTGAAACCTGCAATCCAGGTACATGACCTTGACCAGAAATCAAACCCATGACCTTTTGGTGCACAGGACAATGCTCCCTGAGCAACACCAGCCAGGGCAATGGTTGATTCTTATATATCCTGACCGGAGATTAAACCAGCAATCAGTTGAATCGGGAAGACGCTCTAACCAACTGAGCTACTTGGCCAGGGCCAGTTTACTCAAAATTTTTAGTTAGGTTGATATTCAAGGTTTATATTTATAAGATTATGTAAATATTATTTACAGTTGAGCAGGGAATATACTATACCATTTTTTTATCTTATACAACTTTTTTTTTTCCTGGAGTTAATTTTTGTTATTGTTAATTGATTTGGTTTTCTGTCTCCTTACCTCAGATTATCAGTTAGAAGTGTAAATCTGCTTTCCCCGGTAATAACCATCTCCTCCAGCATGAACTGCTTACTCTTTATGTCTGCTCACAGTTCTAGTCCTAGAATCTTTTTTATTTTTAAAACCTCGCCTGAGGATATTTTTCCACTGATGTTTAGAGAGAGTGAAAGAGAGAGGAAAAGACAGAGAGAAATATTGATGTAGTGGTTACCTCCTGCACCCACCCGGACCAGGGCCCGGCCAGGGGAGGAGCCTGCAACTGAGGTACATGCCCTTGACCGGAATCGAAACCAGGACCGTTTAGTCCTCAGGCCAATGCTCTATCCACTTAGCCAAACCGGTTAGGGCAGCGGTTCTCAACCTGTGGATCGTGACCCCTTTGGGGGTCGAATGACCCTTTCACAGGGGTTGCCTAAGACCATCGGAAAACACATATATAATTTACATATTGTTTTTGTGATTAATCACTATGCTTTAATTATGTTCAGTTTGTAACAATGAAAATACATCCTGCATATCAGATATTTACATTACGATTCATAACAGTAGCAAAATTACAGTTATGAAGTAGCAACGAAAATAATTTTATGGTTGGGGGTCCCCACAACATGAGGAACTGTATTAAAGGGTCTTGGCATTAGGAAGGGTTTAGAAGGCATTAGAACCACTGGGTTAGGGCATCCTGGAATCTTTTTTCATCTTTATCCTGGGGTTTTCCTTTGCTTCTCTCCTATGCTGAACTCTAAATTCTGGATCGCATATCTCTCTTTCCAACTTTCAGGTCTTCAAATGTGACCTCTTTGCTTTGATACTGGGGCATCTTGTAAACCCTCACCTTTATATAGATTTCCCTCTTTGAGGTCTTTTCTTGGTTCTTTTTGTGAGTAGTATAATCTAACCATAGTGATAGTTAGGATCCCAGACCATTAAAGGTGGGTGGGGCTTTTGACCTCATCAGGCTCTAATACTGTAGCTCTCTGGCATCCTAGAGATTGTTCAGTGTCTTCCCTACTTCCCTGTCTGAAATTTGACTCCTCTTTTGTCTTTCCAGTATACCAGCAGTGTTAGCTTTGGAATGAATCAGACAATCCTTGATGTCAAACCCACTGTGTGCCTTGGCTGTGTAACCTTTGGCAGGTTTCTTAATCTTGTGAAGTCCTCTTTTCCTCATCAACAATAGGGAGATGATAAAACCTACCTTACAGAAATGTTATAAGGATTGGAATCAATGCAGATAAAATAGCTCATAAAATGCTTGGCACAGAGGAAGCCCTAAGAAAAGCGTGGCTCTTTTTTCCATATTGGGACTTTGCTTGCATTTTTAAAAATGAAAAAAGTGCCACATTAATTCAAAACATGGGATGTACACCAGTCAGACATTGATGTTCTAGGAAATGATTCTAGTTACTTTGAAGACCATGCATAGTAATTTTATTAAGTATTGTTAGGTAGCATTAATTGAAGTAATTTAAATGCACTTTTTTTTTAAAAAAAAAATATTTTATTGATTTTTTACAGAGAGGAAGGGAGAGGGATGGAGAGTTAGAAACATCGATGAGAGAGAATCACCGATCAGCTGCCTCCTGCACATCTCCTACTGGGGATATGCCCGCAACCCAGGTAAATGCCCTTGACCGGAATCGAACCTGGGACCTCTCAGTCCGCAGGCTGATGCTCTATCCACTGAGCCAAACCGGTTTCGGCTTAAATGCACTTTAAAAAAAATATTTTTATTGATTTTTTTACAGAGAGGAAGAGAGAGAGATAGAGAGCTAGAAATATCAATGAGAGAGAAACATCGATCAGCTGCCTCCTGCACACCTCCCACTGGGGATGTGCCCGCAACCAAGGTACATGCCCTTGACTGGAATCGAACCTGGGACCCTTCAGTCTGCAGGCCGACGCTCTATCCACTGAACCAAACTGGCAGAGCTAAATGCACTTTTTAAATTATAATTTATAAAGGTATTAGTTAAGTTAATCCATATATTCTTCTGTATTATCACTTTTAATCCCCCAAAGTGGGGGGAAAAGTTAATTTAGCAAAGATATAACAAAGTCTCTTCTCACAAAGAAGCAGTGTATTTTAGGTGATGGCACTCATTTGTGTTCTATTTGTTCCACTGATATTTGTATGTACTTTTTTATGTACTGTGTATGTACTGTGATGCCTGCTACACAGTTATTCTGTAAACCAGCCTCCTCCTTCTGGATGAACATTTGTTTTTTGTGTTTTTGTTTTTTTTTTACAGTTTTTTGTTTAGATAGCACAGCTATTTTTGTAAAAAAACATTTTGTCTTTTTTTTTTTTTTAGTTATTTCTTTAGTTCTAGTTCCCAAGATGAGATGAAGGACTACAGATATGAATAGTTTATGACTTTAGTTGCACATTGTGTTAGACTAAATTTACATTCCAGGGTCCAAAACAGGTCTTCTTCTTCTTTTTTTTTAATATGTTTTTTATTGATTTCAGACAGTAAGGGAGATGGGGAGAAAGATAGAATCATCAGTGATAAGAGAGAATCATTGATTGGCTGCCTCCTACATGCCCCACACTGGAGATCGAGCCCACAACTTGGTCTTGTGCCCTGACTGGGAATTGAACCGTGACCTGGTTCACAGGTCAACGCTCAACCACTGAGCCATGCTGGTCGGGCCAAAACAGGTCTTCTTAAAAGCCCTGTTCAGTCAACTGGAGAGTCCCATTACTTGCTCTCTCTTTTGTTTCCACCATGCCTGTGCTGCAGTATTAATTGAGATTCCTAGTGACTGTTTTGAGGCATAAATCTTCAATTATCATCTAAATATTAAAGGAAAATATAAAATTTAAGTATAATTTTCCTAATGTTTTCTAATTTTTAAAAAGTTGGCCACTTGCATTTGTAGGAATAAACTTTATGTAAAGGAAAAAATAGTAAATATTTTATGCTTTGCAGGCCATATATTTTCTGCCACAATGGCTCAATTTTGCTCTTATAGAGAAAAGAAATAGTTATCAACAATAATGAATGACCCTTGCTATGTTCAGATGATAATACTTTACTTACAAAAATAGGTGGAGGGCTAGATTTGAGCCATAGTTTGCTGATACCTGGTCTGTGGCATCTGAACCCATAGATTGAAACTTGGTGTTCAGAGTGGGCCCACAGGCCACAGTAGAGAACCACATGTATAATGATTTCATGTGAAGTAATTCTGCTCTGCTTCACAAAGAAATTGGAAGCACACATTCCTGCCATCCAGAGAAGCCTTTCTAGCTGACTGACCTGAACAAAGCCACTAAACCGCCCTGTGAGCTCTGGAAGGAAGGGGCTGATGGGAGGTGGGCAGGCATTTCAGAAAGTCGTTCTGCTTCCATCAGAACCCTCAAGGGATTTTCTGCAACACTGGCCCTATCTGGTCCATATTTTGGCAGCTCAGGGCTCCCTGGATTTTGCTTGTCAGGCTTTGGCATTTCTTAAGCGGAAGGAAAGACAAGCGTTTAGAGAAAGCAAGAGTTGCCCAGCTGGTGTGGCTCAGTGGTTGATTGTCAACCCATGAACCAGGAGGTCATGGTTTGATTCCTGGTCAGGGCATATGCCTGGATTGAGGGCTTGATCTCCAGGTGGGGTGCAGGAGTCACTGATCACTAATTCTCTCTCATCATTGATGTTTCTGTCTCCCTCTTCCTTCCTCTCTAAAATCAATAAAAATATATTTTGAAAAAGTTTTGTACTTTGGGAATAGGGAGGGTTATTTTGAGTATAATTAATTAAACTTTATACCCCAAACCCTCTTTTTACTTTTGGTATATGCATAGCAGCTTTTACCAACTTCTTTATTCTCACTATGGGTCTTTTATTCATTGATATCACAGAGATGGAATGGGTTGCTCACTTTTGTTCCCATTTGTTATTTTTTTAATTTTTAAAGTTAATCCTCACCCAAGGATAATTTTCCATTGATTTTTAGAGAGAGTGAAAGGGAAGGAGACAGACAGAAACATGATTGGTTGCCTTCCACATGGGCCCCAGTCAGGCCGGGATTAAGCCTGCAACCAAGGTTAGTACCCTTGACCGGAATTGAACCTGGGACCAATCCTTCAGTTTGCAGTCTGACACTCTTATCATTAAGCCAAACCAGTTACGGCTCCAGTTTTCTTTTTGAAAATTAGCTTTTCTTCCTGTTGGAAGTTAGCAGAGCAACTCTCTCTTCTGTGACCATCACTACATTTACCATAAAGGAAGTGTAGAGGTCAGAGGAAGTACAGAAGGAAGTCTGGACTGAGCAGCATTCTGGAGAACTGTCTAATAGTACCCTGATTTTGAGGTTTTCTTGTGTCTTTATGCAAGTCACAGAGTTTATCCTTGATGTATGCTGTCTTGTGGTTTGGGCATTCACTAGTGTATTTAAGTGGACAGCAAAGTTTTAGCCCATTATGTATAATGTGTAAATGTTGATATTGTGATAGGTGGAAGCCACTTATTCTTCATCTATCCTTTTTTCAGTATCTGGCACCAATTCTGGCCCAGTCATTTGTGATCCATGACTCTTATGATATGCCGAAGATTTCCAGGCAGTTTCTGTGGAACGCCTTCCTGTCCAGCTCTAATCAAGCACCATATAAACAAGAAATTGCCCGGTCAGACCTGTGAGGATTGTATTCTGACTGCCAAAACGATCAGTATTGACACCAGAATGGCAGCCACTCTTAAGTTATTAAAACTGTTAGGAAATCGAGTATTTTGCAGTCCTTTTGCCTACAGTGCAACCCAAAGTGTGGCATATTGGAATGTGGGAAGCTCCACACGGCACAGGGGACAGGACCCTCCAGAACACAGTAATCTCTGCCATCCTGCCAAAAAAGTTGAGAACATTTGTAGCACCTCCTCTTCTCAGAGGATCCTGACAACCAGCAGTGCCCTCCTAGGTTTGGAATTCAGCAGGGCTTCTGCCTCTAAAGCCAGCACATGGAAACTGGGCTCACCTAGGGCCATGAAAGTTGATGAAGAGGATGTAGAAGTTTTTGATTCCTTTGAAGACCCCCGAGTTTTCCTACAGCTAAGACCAGAGTACGAGCTTCACAGCTATAACAAATCTGAGCCTTGTCAGCCCCTATCTGTTTCAGAAGGTGAACTAATTTTGCACAAAGTCACAGGTTATCAAGATAATCTCCAGCCTAAAATCATTGTCGATTATTTCTGTAAGCTGAGTTCTATGCCTGCAGAACAACATCCTGTTTTGCGGTCTAGTGCCAAATTTGCATTACTCTGCCAGCTGAGTGTGAAAAACATACAGCTCTTTGATACCCTAGATCTGATCAATATTTTAAAAGCATTTGTCAGTTTAGGAATCCCTCACTCCCATGCAATGCTAGATGTGTATGAAACCAGATTTTGCCATAAAGTATGGGATATGAGTCTGGATCAACTACTCATGGTTGCTGATCTCTGGCGATACTTGGGCCGCAGAGTACCTCGGTTTTTAAAAATCTTTTTTAGTTACCTTAATTTGCACTGGAACAACCTATCCTTGTCTCAGCTGATTCACTTGATTTATATTATAGGTGAAAGTCGTCAGGTACCCCAGGACCTAATGCAAAAACTGGAATCATTGATCCTCAAGTATATAGATTTTATCAATATAGAGGAGGCTGGTGCAATCTGTTTGGGGTTCTTTAAATCAAGTAGTGGTCTCTCAGAATTTGTCATGCGGAAAATTGGAGACTTGGTGTGTGCTGATATGCAGAACCTGAGTAGTTATGCCTTGGTAAACATTCTTAAAATGTTCCGTTTCACTCATGTGGATCATGTAAATTTCATGAAGCAATTTGGGCAGATTGCTCCTCAACGAATTCCTTCCCTGGGAGTTCAGGGTGTCATGCACTTGACTCTTGCCTGCTCTGCCTTACGTTTCCTAGATGAAGGGGTAATGAATGCTGTGGCTGCTTCTTTGCCTCCTAGAGTATCATACTGTCGAAGTAAAGATGTTGCCAAGTTTCTGTGGTCATTTGGAACTCTGAATTATAAGCCACCCAATGCAGAAGAGTTTTATTCTAGCTTGATAAATGAGATTCACAGAAAGATGCCTGAGTTCAACCATTACCCAGAACACCTGCTCACTTGCCTGTTGGGCCTGGCATTTTCTGAGTACTTTCCAATTGAGCTCATCAATTTTGCTTTGAGTCCAGGGTTTGTCAGGTTAGCTCGGGAGAGAACTAAGTTTGAACTCACTAAGGAGCTGTATACTCTTGATGGTTCAGTTGGCATTGAGTGTCCAGATTACAGAGGCAACCGTCTTAGTTCTTACCTTCAGCAAGAGGGGTCAGAAATACTGTGGAATGCAGCTAGGAAGGATATGTGCTCAAAACCTGAATTCCTAGAAGCTCTCTTTTTACTTGAGACCATGTTGGGTGGGCCCCAGTACATTAAGCACCATATGATTTTGCCCCATACCCGATCTTCTGACTTAGAGGTCCAGCTTGATGTTAATATGAAGCCATTGCCATTTAACAGAGAAGCCATACCCTCTGAAGATTTACTAGCCAAATTAAGGCTCAAGCATGTGGGAATCAGTCTTACAGATGATTTGATGCACCAGCTACTTAAGGGGAAATCAGGAGGGCATCTCCAGGGGAAAACTGAGTCAGAGACTGGGCAACAGCCCATGGAATTAGAGAAGAAGGCAGCCATGCCCTCTGAGGCCTCTCTTTACAATGTGGCAGACAGATTGGGGGCTATGGAGATGGCTGGCCAATGCCCGCCAGCCTGTATGCAGGCCCCACAAGTGAAGCTGGCTATTCAGTTGACAAACAAGAACCAGTATTGCTATGGTTCTAGAGATCTGCTTGGATTGCACAATATGAAGAGGCGGCAGCTGAATCGGCTTGGGTACCGTGTGGTAGAGTTATCCCACTGGGAATGGCTCCCACTACTGAAACGAACTCGCTTTGAAAAGCTGGCGTTCCTCCATGAGAAAGTGTTCACCTCTGCTCTCTGAAGGACCTTTGGGCATATCTGCGTATAAATACTGTAGATACACACTGTACTAGGTTTTGTGAAACAGTTATAAAAGCCAGAATGTAGGTTTGTAATAAAATTATCTGTTGAGGAGACCCAATTGTGTTCTTGTCTATGGCAGATTAAAGGTAGTATATGTTATTGTGAATTAATTGTAACCTAATTTGTGCAGGTAAATAACAAACGTCTTAAAATGTCCTATTTTCAATTTCTCATTTTTCTCTGTTTACCAGCCTTATCTCATAGTTATTTTGAATATTTAGGATAAAAGTATAGTCAGTCATTATCTAAAGCCAATTTTTAAAAATTAGTTTTCAGCCCTGGATGATGTGGCTCAGTTGGTTGAGCATTATTCCATGCACCTAGAGGCCAGTGGTTCAATTCCCGATCAGGGCAAGTGCTTGGGTTGCCGGCTTGATTCCCAGTAGGAGGTGTTCGGGAGTAAGCCGATTGATGGTTCTCTCTCATTGATGTTTTGCTCTCTCCCTCTCCCTTCCCCTCTCTAAAACCAATAAAAACATTTAAATAATAATAATAAAAGTTGGTTTTTATATACTTTGCTATAAAATAAGAATCTCTCTATATAAAACCCTAATATGCAAATAGACCGAATGGCAGAACAACCTGTCGCTATGATGTGCGCTGACCACGAGGGGGCGTGTGTGGAACATGGGCATCAGCAGCAGGTGGCAGAGTGCGGAACATGGTGGGCATCGGTTGTAGCGGGATGGTGGAACAGGTGAGCGGGGGTGCCAGACCAAGGCAGGGACCGGTCACTGTCATTGGGGCGAGCCTCTGATGGTTACTGAAAATTCTTTGTTCCCGCATGCTGCGGTCCTGCTGGATGTTCACGCCTGCTGCCGACACTGGCCCCACTTTCATCTACTGCTGGTGCCAGCCCTGATCACTTGGCACCGTTAGTGGGTACAAGTGGCGGCTGCCGGCCCTGATTGCACCTTAGAGCTTCCCCACTTCCCCCTGCTCTTGAGGGGCAATCGGGGCTGGCATCTGCCTCTTGCACCCGCTGCTGGCTCTGGAGCAGCTACTCGCACCCGATCACCTTCCCCTGCTCCTGAGGGGCAATTGGGGCAGCAGCTGCTGCTTGCATCTGCTGATGGCTCCAGCCTTGCATCCGCTGATGGCTCCAGCCCTGCTCACACCTGCTGCTTGCACTGGCCCCAATGGCTCCGCGCTGTCAGTGGGTGTGAGCGGGACTGGTGCTGTCAGCACGTGGGAGCAGTGGTGGCAGGAGCAGGGCTGCCGGCAGACAGGACTGGGGATTGCAGCAGGAGGGGCTGGGTGGGGGCGCAGAGGATGGGCCAAGACCTGCCCCTGTGCCCACCGCAGCCTCACGGCCCACAGTTCCTTTCAAGGTGCATGATTTCGTGCACTGGGCCCCTAGTCTTGTATAACTTCACTTATATTTCAGGATTTCCCTGCATGCATGTTTTTTTCTTCACACCCTCCAAAATTAAAGTCCTTATTCTTGTTTAGATTGGGTTGGTTATCCCTAGTTGCTGATTCTCCGTGCTTTAAAAAGCCATTTCAGAATTAGTGAGCTTACTATCTTCCTCTTAGCCCCCTCTTCTGCATTTTGACTTCTTTTTTACCCCTGGAATATTTTCTCCCTAAAATTGAACTTAGAAGACTAGAATTATTTGAGTGCCTGTGGAATCAGAGGTTCTTAAATATGACCAGGCAGAATGTTTTTCATGGCAAGTAGCTCAGATGAGAAGGAAACTTATTACTGCCCTTAACAGAAGCAGTCTAAGGCAGTGATCGGCAAACTGCAGCTCGATCTTACACAAAATACCACGTGCGGGTGCGCACGTACAGTACGATTGAAACTTCGTGGCCCATGCGCAGAAGTCGGTATTTGGTGGAAGAGCCAAAGAGCCTCATGTGGCTCACGAGCCACAGTTTGCTGACCACTGGTAAGGGGCTTCAGGTTTGGTTGTATTAAAGCCACAGGTTATATTAGAGCCAATTTATGATTGTATATATGTAACAGTACAAGTAACGTTTGTAAACATTGGGGAGTCTGTGAGAATTTCTCTTAAAAAGGATCCCTCCCATCATTATCTAGGTCTCTTCTCAAAGATCAATTTTTAGCCCTACCTGGTTTGGCTCAGTGGATAGATTGTCAGCCTGTAGACTGAAGGGTCCTGGGTTCGATTCCAGTCAAGAGCACATGCTCACATGCCCGGGTTTCGGGCTCGATTCCCAGTGGGGAGCGTGCAGGAGGCAGCCAATCAATAATTCTCTCATCATTTGGTGTTTCTATCCTCCCTCCCTCTCTGAAATCAACTTACTTACTTATTTATTTATTTATTTATTTATTTATTTATTTATTTATTTATTTATTTATTTTAAAAAGAGGGTTTGGCCCTGGCTGTGTGGGTTAGTTGGAGCATCATCCCATACACTGAAAGGTTGTAGGTTCAATTCCCAGGGTGGGCACATACCCAGGTTGTGGGTTTGATCCCTGGTCAAGGTGTGTGTGGGAGAAAACTGATTGATGTTTCTCACATTGATGTTTCTCTACCTCTCCCTCTCTCTCTTAAATCAATGAAAACATATCCTAAATAAAAAGAGGGTTTGGAGATCAACCGAAGGACTTGTATACATGTATATAAGCCAAACCAATGGACATGGACAATAGGGGGATGGGAGCATGAGTGTGCGGTGGGGGGGTGGGGGGGGGTGGGGGGGGAGGTTGGGGGTTAATGGGGGAGATGAGGACACATTTGTAATACCTTAACTAATAAAAAAAAAAAGAGGGTTTGTATGTCAGTTGCTGGAGAGAGAACAATTAAGACAACTGAAAAATCACCAATAAATTTGGTAACCAGGATATTACCAATGACCTTAACAATAGCAGTTTGAATTGAATTGTCAGCAGAAACCAGATTGCACATCTGTTGAATGAGAGTTAAGGGCTGGGTTGCAAATGTTGAAGCAATTCCTTGAAAACTTTTGAAGAGGAGATGAAAACTTTAGCAGGATTTAGACTAGGACTAGGATTGCTGGATAAAATACAGGTTGCCCAGTTAAATTTAAGTTTCAGATAAGCAATGAATAATGTTTTGTGGTAAATTACACACAAAATTGGCCATTTTAAACAAAGTATACAATTCAGTAATATTTTAGTACATTGATATTGTGCAACCAATCATCACTATTTAGTTCTGGAACATTTTCTTCACCCCAAAAGAAAACTCCATACCCATTAAGCAGTCACTCTATATTATTCTCTTTCCCCAGACCCTGGCAACTACTAATCTGCTTTCTGTCTATGGGTTTACCTATTCTGAATATTTTTTAAAATGGAATTATATGTAAAATGGAATATGTACCTTTTTTTTTTTTTTTTTGGTCTGCCTTCTTTTATGTAGCATAATGTTTTCAAGGTCCATCCATGTTATAGCATATACCAGTACTTTATTCTTTTCTATGGCTGAATAATTTTCCATTGGATGGATACACCATATCCATCTGTTGATGGGCACTGGATTGTTTTGGCTATTACAAATAGTGTTGCTGTGAATATGTGCAAGGTTTTGTTTGAACACCTGTTTTCAGTACATTTGGGTATTTTTATGTAGGGGTGAAATTGCTGGGTCATATGTTAATTCTATATTTAACTTTCCTACAGTGGCTGTACCATTTTAAATTCCCAACAGCAGTGTACTAGGGTTCCAGTTTTGCTAACACTTGCACTTGCTATTTTCTGTATTTTTAAAAATATTCTGGTAGTTCTGAAGTGGTTTTGATTTGTATTTCCCTAGTGACTAATGGTATTTAGCATCTTTCAATCTTTTTAAATATATATATATATATTATTGATTTTTTACAGAGAGGAAGGGAGAAGAATAGAGAGTTAGAAACATCGATGAGAGAAAAACATCAATCAGCTGCCTCCTGCACACCCCTTACTGGGGATGTGCCCACAACCAAGGTACATGCCCTTGACCAGAATTGAACCTGGGACCCTTCATTCCGCAGGCCGTTGCTCTGTTCACTGAGCCAAACTGGTTAGGGCTCAATCTTTTTTTTTTTTTTTATCCTCACCTAAGGATATGTTTTTATTGATTTTAGAGAGGAAAGAGGAGAGAGAGAGAAAAACAAACACACACCACAGCAATCAGTTGCCTCCCATAGGTGCCCCAACCAGGGTTCTAACCCTCAACCTGGATGAGTACGCTGGGTGGGAGTCAAACCCGAAACCTTTTGGTGTACAGGATGATGCTCCATCCAACAGAGCCATCCAGTCAGGACAGCATCTTTCAATGTTAACAATATTAAGTCACCAGTCCATAAACACAGAATGTCTTTCCATTTATTTAGGTCATTTTTTTTTTTTTTTTTTTAAGAGAGGAAGGGAGAGGGAGAGATAGAAATATCAATGATGAGAGAGAATCATTGATTGGCTGCCTCCTGCATGTCCCTCACTGGGAATTGAGCCCACAACCTGGGCATGTGCCCTGACCAGAATTGAACTGTGACCTCTTGGTTCATAGCTCAATGCTCAAACACTGAGCCACGCTGGCCGGAAATGGTCGTCTTTAATTTCTTCCATCAATATTTTATAGTTTTCAGTGTACAAGTCTTAGCACCTCCTCAGTTAAATTTATTCCTAAAATATTTTATTTTTTGATGCTGTTGTAAATGGGATTGTTTTAATTTCCTTTACAAATTTCTCCTTGTTAATTTATAGAAATACAACTTGATTTACCCTGCACTTTTGCATAATTCTTTTATTAGCACTAATAGTTTTTTGTATGTGTGTTTTCTATATATAGGATTATATCATTTATGGATAGAGATGGTTTTAGTTCTTCTGTTCTACTTTGGGTACCCATTTACTTATTTATTTGCCTAGAACTTACAGTATAGAATTGAACAGAATTGGTGAAAGTGGGCATCTTTGTCTTGTTCCTGATCTTAGAGGGAATGCTTTCAGTTTTTCACCATTAAGTTTATTAGCTGTGGGGTTTTTTGTTGTTGTTTTTGTTTTAAATATATTTCTTTATTGATTTCAAAGAGGAAGGGAGGAGAGAGAGATAGAAACATCAATGATGAGAGAGAATCATTG